CTAAAGCCAGCCAACATTCTTTTGGATGAAGATATGGTGGCTCATGTTGGTGATTTTGGAATCTCTAAGATTTTAGCTGTCAGCAAGTCCGTGGCACATACAGAGACATTGGGCACTCTTGGATACATTGCACCAGGTATAAAAAATCTACTCTCATTGATTTTCTCTTATCATAATTAAGCCTCTCCAAGTTGTAGAAGTAAAAAGAGAACTATTGTTATATTTCAATTGAGCAACTTTTGGTCAATCATTTTCTAAGAATATGGCTCAGAGGGAATAGTGTCTGCTAGTGGTGATGTTTATAGCTACGGAATCATGTTGATGGAGGTTTTGACCAAAAGAAGGCCAACAGATGAAGAGATATGTAATCAAAATCTTGACCTGAGGAAATGGATAATACAATCATTTTCAGGGAGTATGACCGACGTCGTGGATGCCAATATTTTTTCTGAGGAAGAACAAATTACTTGTAAAAGTAAAATGTGCATAGCCTCCATGATAGAATTGGCTTTAGACTGCACAAAGGAAATGCCAGAATCAAGAATAACCAATGAAGGATGTAGTCAAGAGGCTTAACAAAATCAAGAACGCATTGTTGGAAATGTAGAAGTTAGCATCTGTTTCGGTGGTGTTCTTTCTGATCTGCAAGTTAACATGTTACTTTTTGTTTACCTAGTTTCTTTAGTCGTTCATACTTCCTGGAGACATGTACTATTTGTACTTCAGAGTGTTGCATTTCCCTCATTTTATGATTTAAGATTTGAGTAGTACTCTTTAATATGTTTTTACACATAATTTATGCTCAAACTTAACTTTGATCTCCCTGTTTTTCAGTATCAGTGAAAGTTTAAGCTTAACATATATTGACGATTATCGAGTACTAAACATGTAAGTGCAAGTAAAGAAGAGATTTATATAGCTCAACCCGAAAGTTGTGGTTCAAGGAAGTGAAAGCAAGGTGTATATATAAGCTTCAAAAGCTTTATATAGGTTGAAGCAGGCTCCAAGTGAAGTGAAGATATTTACCTAAGTTTGTTATGGTTAGAACCTAATTTTTGCAACAGAGTCGCCAAGCTATTATAATCCATTTTAACCTGGTAAAAATAGAGTAGTACATATTGGAGATTGTCAGGTTAATTAACTTAAGTAGTCGCCACCTAATTAATTACGATGAATTAGGGCACCAACTTATCAACTATATAGTTAAACTCTTTTAAGGTCTTATAATCCTACTAAATACTACTCCCTCCGTCCCATTTTATATGAGGTACTTTGACTCGGCACGGAGTTTAAGAAAGAAAGAAAGACTTTTAAAACTTGTGGTCCAAAATGAATGATAGAAATTTATGTGGCTGTAAATCATTTCATTAAGGGTAAAATAGATATTTTATAGTTAGATTGTTACTTTATATAGAAATGTGTCAATTCTTTTTTAGACTGACTAAAAAGGAAAGTGAGTCATATAAATTAGGACAGAGGGAGTAGTAAGGTTCAAAAACCTACAGGGGATAATATTATGGGGGGTTTAAATATGGAAGAACTCTAGTATATATGAAAATGTGTGCGAGTATACTAGTTTTTGTGTAACGTGTGTTGCACATATATCGCAGGTAAATTATTTGCAAGAATAATCTAATTAAAGTCACTTTGTAAAAATATTTATGATTTATTTTACATTTCAAGTTCAAATTTATTTTTTATTTTTTATCTTTTTTTTTTGTTAAATTTTTTATATTTTTATCTAGTCAAACACCATCTCATAAATAAGGACAATTAAAGTACTAATTTGCACTTATTAGAACTTAGAAGATGCATTATTACAACTAATAATTTACAGTGTTATAATGCTAAATTTGCACTAATTAGATTATTATTGATCCTTAAAATTTCACGAAAGAGGAGTTTTGCTCACTTTGAGATGGTTGAAAGATCATATATAAAAAAAAATTAACTTCTATACAGCTAAACATAACTACTTGTAGCGTATCAACGAGGATTGTGATGGAGTGATAATTACTCCTTCGTCCTTATCAAAAAATCTCAACCGGTTCGAACTCTATTGGATATAGAGCCATCCCCATAAAGGAATGTTTTACCTCAATGTGAAACTTCCTAGTATAAATCGAAATTTCCTCAAGAAAACTACTCGTAACGTAATAAATCGACAATAATAATGATCATCAAGAAACTATTTTTTATATGGTTCCTCACTTCGGTATTTTCATTTTTTCCGATTAGATATGTCTTACTTGAGCCGGATGTTTCAAAAGTGTCTCTCTGCCTTTACCACAAGATAGAAATAAAACTGCGTACACATCACCCTCCCAGACATGTGAGAGGTTTCCCATGCTCGCAACTTTTTTAATCTTAGCATATCCCTCAACATGAAGAAATCTAAAGACAACTAGACAAGAATGCACAATCCATTAAAATAAAACTAAATGCAAAGGTATCAAAGATTAGAATTACTTGTGAAACAATTTAGACACAACACAAACTCTTGTCACTTTGGACAAAGAATCTTTAGCACAAAGGCAAAAACATTTCTTCTTTCATAACACACATATTAAGTGTTTGATTGATTAAATCTCTAAAAATGAATCACAATATGGAAATCTTTGCCAAGATTTTGCACTTCAAAAATCACATTGTCACATTGATTTCCTTATCAATTTTCATAACTTTTTTTTTAATGTTGGCACCTAATATTCTTACTTATTTCTGGCCTCTTTTGCTATCCACAACTCTACTTTTGGTCACAATTCTTGCCTTCAATAATGTACCACCATTGGCTGTTGAATTCTCCAATGTAAAAGAAAGTGAAGGATCACTACTTGATTTTCTTGCAGGGCACCAACACCAGGAGCAACTTGAAGAGTTTTAATACTCGGTCGCCTGCAACGGCCCTCAGTCCTTTTAAGGTTTCGGCATAATCTAGTAGCTTAGGTCCGAACTCTATATTTATGTTAATAAATCTACTTAAAATGTGTAAAAAAATTATCCAGGACCTTGGAAGCGGTGTTTCTTAAAATTCTGGATCCGCCTCTGCTTCTGGTGGAAAGTGTATGGTAAATGATTGATAAATGTACATCCTTATCATGTTTAAAGAACTACTATGATGATATTGGTAATGTAACATGTCTCACTTTGTTCAAATTTTGCATGACTTAAACTTACATTCTTCTCAATAGTCTTGAAGAAAATTAGTTTATAGACAACGTGAAATAACAACAACGATAACTATGCCTAAATTATAAACAAGTTTGTGTCGACTATATGAATCCTCACTGACCATGTTTCAATATGTTTAAATTATGGATTAACTTACATTCTCCCAATGATTCAAAATTGTGACAAGTTCTTGAATCTTGATTGTATCTATGATCCCTTTTTCCAAACATTAAGTCCATAGGATTGAAAGTCTGCAAAATTTTCTATGCAATTTCCATAGTTCTATCATTTGTGCGTAAGATGTTTAGAGGGGTGTTATCAGCTTTTGGATCGAGACGACGACTGCAAAAGTGCAATATCATTTTCAGTCAATGTGCCTGAATGATCAACATCAAGCAATTTGAAGCTCTCCATGACTATAGAGATGTCTTCCTCAGTTATCTTCCCCAACTCTTTAAGTTTATAGACGATGAATTCTGCAGCGCTGGATGAAGAAAAATGAATATGATAATCAGAATGTAGCACAAAAACTTGAACGCGATATAACAATAACAATTGTGTCTTAGTTCTGAACAAGTTGGTGTTGGAAAGCCTAGGAATGTGAATGTACTAAAAGGACATTCTGGTACACTAAGCTCATGTTAAGTGCAGGGTCTAAGGAAGGGCCGGACCACATTAGGTCTAATGTACGTAACCTTACCTTGCAGTTCTGCAAGAGGTTGTTTTCGCCACTTGAACATGTGACATCCTGGTCACACGACAGCCATGTTTCTATTGCACCAATGCTCCCCTTCGTAAACGTACTAACATGAGTAAAACATATTCCCAACTAATTGTTATTGCATATATATCATTTTATTTCGTTGTGCTCTATGTCTGTTGCACGTTAACGACTTACCTCACTTCACTGTCATGATCAAGATCTGCAGCCTGGAGGTCTGAATTTGTCAACTCGCGAGTTAGAGCCCATTTGAACATAGATTTTCGCCTTTGTTCTGTATATAACTCAGCAAGGGAGTAAAATAACTGTCCCAAACAAATTGTGCTCATCAATATCCAAAAAGAAGCAAATAAACGCCCCCATTTCGTCGAGAAACTCTTATCTCCATACCCCAGAGTAGTAATAGTAGCACAAACACAATAAAAAGCATCACACAAACTCAAATCCTCAACTTGGCATAGAAAAATTGTTCCAAGCATAGTAAGTACAACAAGAAGTGCCACAGTACTTAAAAACTTGTACTTTTCGATGTTCGTTTCTACCTCTTTCAAAACCTCTGTTGAACTAGTACTATCTTTCCTCATCTTTATGGCTTTGAGAAACATGATTTGTTGCCTCTCAAGAAAACTATCTGCTGCTTTACTCAGAACAAATCCAACAAGAGCCATACCGGTGAACACAAAAACACACGCGAGAAACTTAGCTAAGATGCTTTTAGGAACAAGATCACCATATCCAACAGTAGTCATTGTAACAATACATAAGTATATTGCATCAAGAATCCCATTAGTCTTTTTTCCCTCGATTTGATCGCTTATGATGAAGAAGCAAATTGCTCCGACTCCTATATAAACAGCCAAGAACAACAGTACATCTCTGAGTCTAAAACTCTTTGTTGAAATGAACTCAGGGTAATGAAGGGATTCCTCATTATTTCTCTGTATATGACTAATAGTACAACAAGTGCTGCTAGATTGAGGCCGCCTTCGCTTAAATGAGTTTACATCACTAAATCGAATCGATGAATTTGCATTGCCTCGTAGTAGAGGTTCTTCAACATCGCCATTCGCCATGACAGCTCAAAAAACATGCTATTAACTACCAAAATCAAACTGCAATCAAGATAATGTACATCAATAATAATAACAAAATACCACTGGAATTCCACAACTGGAGTCTGGGAAGGGTAGTGTGTACGCAGACCTTACCCCCCTCTTGGAACATAAAGAGGTTGTTTCCAATAGACCCTCGGCTCATCTCAACTATTCCTATGCATATGATTGTAATCTTTCTAAGCTTTTCAAATATTTAAGTTTCAATCATTTGTTGTCTTAATTAGAATATAGTTCAAAATATTGTTAATGAGATAACCTTGTACTATGCATAACATCCATGGGCGGAGCTAGGGTACCAGAAGGGGGTTTCGAATAGGGTTCATCCGAGCCCCCTTCGTTGAAAGATTTATTATATACAAGGTTAAAATTATTCTTTTAGTTGATGTTGAATCCAATTGATTTCTTCGTTTATTTACTTCTTTATAGTTTGGATTCTCTTAGTGAAAATATTGGCTCTGCTTTTAATATGATCTATAATTGATCCATGTTAAGTTTTAATCTTTTGCAGCATTGGCTTCAACCATAAAAATTAGAAAAATGGGAATTGTATACACATATAACTCTTTATGGTCACTTGTTTCAACAATCCAGTCAAAAAACACTATATATACTTAAGGTGGGGAAATCGAGATTTACAATTAGGAGAGTCAAAATATTAAGAAATAAATACACGATGAACAGAAATCAAGAAATCAACATTAATGAGAGAAATCCAATGAGTATGCAAATCCAACAACTTTGAATTATTTTAAATCCAACTTCAAAACAAGAAACAAATGTAACAAAGAAAATCTAGAGAAAATTTCAAAAAAAAAAAAACATATATATATAAGGTGGAGAATGTTATATTACCTCATGTTAATAAAACTATCATATTCATCAAATAGACTCTTTTCAAATCCATGCAATTATTCTTCTTTTGGATGAAAACAGAAAGCAATAAAAAAAAAATCAGAAGGAAAAAAGAATAATGAGCATGAAAAAAAAAAGTTTTTTTAGTTATAGCAACAAAAAGGGGTTTATGATTAGAGGATAAAAATGACATTTAATTGTGAATCACAAATAAATTAATGTTGTCCACTCACCTTACAAAATTTATTGGAGGCTTTCAATAGATTCTAATTTTTCAACAATATTATATGGTTACTCTATTTTCACCTGGCTTAATTTTAATTAACTTACCATATTTATCATTCCATATCATGTGTTAGATACTTTTCTTTTGAGACGAGTTTCTCTCGGAAGCAACGTCTCTAGTAGAAAGTAAGATCTCCTACATACACCTCATACACCTCACTTGTGAAGTTATACTGAGAGTATATTATTGTTTGTTGACGTCGAGGCATTGAACATGGAACTTTTTGTTAAGGATGTACGTCGGCAAGAGCCTCGATAAGAGTTATATTGCTTTTGCTGGTTTCTCCTGTAAATGTAATTTACCATTCACATGTATTCCTTTTGTTTAATTTTTCAGAGATTTGCTTGCCTTACAATGCTGTTAAAATGTTATCTGTTGAAATACTTTATGCCTATGTTGCTCAAGACTCTTTGAAATGTTGATAGGTTGTGTTGAACTCTTTAAAAGTAGTGCATTTTTGGAGAATTCAACACGGGTGTGGCAACATTTTGAGACTCCGTCAACTTAGCTTTAAACATAAGTCCCTTAAAGAAATAAACGCGAGGGGCGTTATATATAAACACAAACTTGATGTTCATTTCCTGTACATAGTACCCAAACAAATGAAGTGAGAGCATTACTTCAGCTGAGACTAGAGCTAGATTGATGTAAATCCACTTACTGTATCGTCCCAAAACAGGACAACGCTCATCATGAATGACAGTGAAGGTATCTCAAAGGAAATAGTCTCTACCTCCTCTCAAGGTAGGGTAAGGTCTGCGTACACTCTTCAAACCCCACTTGTGGGATGATATGTTGTTATATTCACTCTTTGTTTTCTTGGACTGAAAAATGTCCATATATCTATGTGGCATTGCTAAGTTCAACTTCGCCAATTGCACATTTCTGGTCTCCGTTGTCCGAAATCAATGGATTACAGAGGATAGGGACCAACCGCAAGAAAAGTAAGAGAAAGTAGATAAGCAATTTGAGAGTAACCATAACGTCCTTTACAGCAGCAGCAACAACAACAGATACAGCAAGGAAATGCCATATGCTACAAACCAAAAAACAGCAAGGCAAACTCATGGATGAAATTTCATATAATAACTGATCAACACAAGGAAACAATCCAATAGTAGGATTTAGGAGGTTCGAAAGGACATCAAACCAGGTATTGATAATGGCAGAGTGGCCTTACAGCCAAATAGCTGATAAGCAGCCAATATATTTGCATTTAACCGCATGACAGTTTTGGTTGTTATATCTTGTTAACAAGATACCTTCCAAGGAAATTGATAGGCTTGGTAGAGTCAGAATTTTGCATTCCCCGTTGTCTAATTTTAATTCGAGCAATGTAATCTGCTGCAATCCAAGCAAAACTTAACATAACACCATTTGAAACAGCATCTGGCAATTGCAACTCTAGTGATCTAGTCACCCAATGAGGATGGTAGGTGACCCGATACCACGCAGATGCCTTTCTTTCATACATATCATTCTTCTCATCAACGGGAAGCATATCAAAATCAGGTTCCATCTGCTCGAAAACATTCCTGAACTCCTTCCTCAACGTATTATATGCGTGCTTCAGCCTCTCTTTTAATTCCCCTTGCTTCTTAGCACTGTACTTCGGCATGGACCATATATGTCCAGTAACCACCTCTTCCTCCCCATTAACTTTGTATTGTCCTAAAAGCCCATTCAACTGACCATCATAAGAACATTTGTGGTTCCACGCATCATCTATGAAATCTTCATATCCCAGAATCTCAATATTAGTGTCATATGGGATGTCTTTAGGGACAAACTCAAGTCCAGAAGATTCTCCACCCTCTGCATCATATACATCTATAACTTGCCTATATAATTTGCCCAAAATTTTCTTTGACTCGTATGTTTGAAACGGCTCTTTCCCCATGAAGTCGGGATACATTTTTGGTTTGAGGTCAAATGGCATGGTGACAAGTTTTCCAGTTTTGGGGAAATCAACGGCTAGAGCAGCAAGTTCTGCCAATTTAAGGCACTTCTCATCCAAAGCTCCAAATTCACTGAGGTCAGCATGAACCACATGTGCGTTGCAGATTTCTCCTAGACTCTCTTGGACCATGTTCTTTGAGAAAAAATCTATTATGTCCTGTAAAAAAAGAAGACGATAGTTAAAAAAACTAAAAAAATAAACAGTACACCGGAAAAATAAAATACAAAAGAATATTATGCAACTAGTTGAATGATCCAACAAATAATAAGCGTCATAAAGAGGACCTAAATTCCTAATCAAGTGCAAGAAGAGAACAAGATCTATTGTAAGTGTCTTTAAATTTTTCTTTTTATTATAGTGAGTGTACCTACAGAAAAAGAGTCTCCCTCTTCTATTACAACCAAATACATTATGGATAAACCATACAACTTAAATATGGTCGAATGCAATTGGGATGCATTATACAAGAAAAGTGAGCAATAAATGCAACAAAACTCAATACAGTTGTTAAATGATAGTTAATATTTGCTAAAGAACAAGTAATGCTAGCTTTTCAAGAAGGCTTACAATTATCTCATCAGTATTCTAACCAAGTGAGCATTAAGCCGTAAAACAAACTTATACAGATCTGGAAAAGCTAACTAAATATAGGAAGATATGAACAAAGCTGAAAGAAATATCATTATAGTTGGATAGTTACCGTATGCTGAACTTGACGACCCAACTGTTTGGCTTCTGCAGGTGCATAGTCCATTGGCATCCAGCTTTTCTTACTGGGTGGAATGAGATTTTCATCCCAAGTCACAAAGTAGAGATCACCATCAAGGTCACTCCCTGATGCTTCATTTGAATGTGGCCTATCCCCTTTCTGAGGGAAGACCAGACAATCATAGAGATGGTGTAAACCAGGAACATCTACAGCCTCCAGAATCCTCACATCCCCGGGATGAAGACACGGGTTCTTTGCAATTACAACAAGGCCCTTTATTACTTGAAGATTTTTCTTGATTTCAGAAAACTTTGGACCATGCTTAACAAAACAGGTCTCCAAAGAAGGGCTTGACACTTGAATAAAGCATTGGCCTTGCTCAAGTTTACGTAATTCATCCAAACAGCCCATCAACCACCTTCCTGAAGGAACAAACATCCTTGTCTTATTCCGGAGGTCGCCGAGTTGAGCAGCTCTAATGCTAGCCAACATCCCTCTCAAATGAGGTTCACTTTGAGGTTTAAACCCTGCACTCAACATTATAGCCGCTGTATTTCCTGCCTCGGCACATGAAGCTGTAATTACATCAAAAGCCACGTCCGAATCCACAAGTATCTTATCCAACTTTGATAACATTTCTTTCTGCATTTCCCAAAACATTTCATCTTTAACTTCCAAGGACGAGAGCAAGGTTATTATTTGCCGGTTCAGAAAACCAGGCTGTAATCTCGTCCAAGAGCAGATTTCAAGGATAGTGTGATTTGAGTCAAATTTCTTCATACTTGGTCTCAGAGAAAGGCGGATACCATCTTTCTCTGCCGGCCAACATGCGACAACACCTTTACAACCAGCATACCTTATCTGATAAGCACAAGGAGGATTGACACTTAATTGCAACTTCGCTGCAACTTCTATAGATAGATCTGCTGACATCATGCCTATTCCATCAGAGAAAACATACCCATTTCTTTCTATATCTGGAAGCTCGGAGTTAACCTCGCTTGGAAGGACTTCCACTGTTGCATAGGTTGATGAAAAGCACTGTCCCATCCTAGCAGCACATTTTGCAACATTCCTGTTACCGAACTTACCCATCCAGTTTATGATGTTGGGCACCCTAATTTCCGGGGCTTCAGCAAAAAACCAGGCAGAACGATCCCTCAGCTGGTTAGCTGAGAAAGCCAAAAAAGAATACCTTCGACCACACAGATAAAATCCTTTACTCAGAATACTTTTCACCCTTTGGAAGATTCCAGTTCTCTGGGGATTAGAACTTGATGTAATTTCTCTCACAATAGTAGCAGCATAGTATGTCAGAACATTCCTGTTCAAGTTACGCATGCCCTCATCCATAAAAGTAACTCGCAAAAATCGATCTGAAACATGCTTATACTTCCTGAGGACTCTATTGGATAGCTCCACAGTTGGCGGAAGACAGTATGCTTTGGTTGGGGTAATAACCAACCTTCTAACCTCTACAACATCATCCAACTGTCCAGTTCTCTCGAGAAGGTTAGGATTCTTAAATAGCCATTTCTGGACACTTGCTAACTTCTGAATAGCATCATTGACAGGCCTTTTGTAAGAAAAGATGTGCTTCAGTGCAGCTAAATTTACCCCCTCCTGATGCTTTCTAAGCAAAGAAAAGAATTCAGCAGTCATCTGATGCTGATTAACTATGCCTTTTTGCAAAACCGCATTTACCAGAAACAAGACCTTAAAGCTTATACCTTCATGGTTTTGAAAGCAGAAGAAAGGTTCTGAGAGGGACACCCCAAAATCAGGCTCATCTCTCACCCGGAGCATCTGCCTGTTACCCTGTTCTACCACAGGCACCCTACTTTCTCTGAAATAGTTCATGGCCTTCTTAAGGCTAGGACCATTGCGAGGTCGAATTGAAATACGGTAGGTATTAAACCTACCAATGGCTCCACTACATGTAATGTCAGTGGTTCGGATCCACTGATCATCGTCATCTAATAAGTCAAAAGCAACTGATTCTTCAATGTCATCATCAGCAGTTCTATAGAAAACCAATGGAGATGAAGTCAGCTGCAACAATAATACCAAAGATGCAAAGTCTTTGCATTCGTTAATCTCATTGATTTCCCTCAGCAAAAACTCAATCTTGAAATTGCATTTTATAACGGCATGTTTTCCTTCACCCTTGAAGCAGAAAGCAGTATCCCTTGTGAAAAGTATTTTGCATGTCCCATTGAATGGATCCACAAGAAAGTTAACACCAGAATGAGGTCCCCTCCAACCAACCACAAAGTCATCATTACTAACCAGTACTCCAATTTCTACACCAACGTCTGAAAACTTAAAAGGCATGATAGTTCTTCTCCTCTTATTCATATTAAAGGGATTCTCAGGACCCAAACTAACCTTCAAAGGCTTCTCTTCTAAGAAGAGTTCATCACGCCTAGCAGCAGCAAGAGCATTCTGTGCGGACTCTGAAGATGCAAAATGAACAAATGCATGAGGTTCCACTTTTATGTAATTGTTCATTCTTCGCACGTTCTCTACATCAATGTCATAAGTCGGGTAAGAGTCAGGAGGAGTGGATGAAGTCTTTAATCTACACCTCCACACTTGTCCAACTTGGTCTTCCAGACATTCTGAAAGCATTTTCGCATTGACATCATTGCTGAACCCACCAACACTAATTTGAGTCACTACGAGATCCTTTTCAGAACCCTCTGATCCCATCTTTTTCTTGAAGGAGTCACGCGGACTTTTGGACTCACTTATTCACACAGCCTCCAAGTTCACCTGTTACATGACCAAAAATTTGTGAATAAAACGAAACAACAGAACAAATCTTATAGAATGGACAATGTATGAGGCAACAAAATATTTAACTATTTATAGAATATGATAGAGCATCAGGTTGCTAAGAAAAGCCATCCATGAGCTGGAAATCATAGTTCACAACCATACCAATCGAAATGTTGATTATTCATTTAGACCACATAGATAACCTTCTGAAACATCCTTAAGCTTTTCTACCTTCCAAGTGCAGAACAAATATTAAATAAACTAACCAATCAAGAACAAGAAGATGAAATATATGTACACTGCATTTTAGTAATCAGACGGTGATGAGACACTGTAGAAGAGAGTGATCAAGAGGACAACATGAACTAATAGATTCACTTATTTCCCAGTTGAGAATTTGAAAAACAGACATCTGAAGATCAGTATTTCTATCTTTAGGTATTAGTCATATTTTTGTCCAAAACTCCTATTCTTACATCTGATTATCAGCTATGTGAAAACATCTAACAACTGGCCTTTGAATACTGTTTATCTGGCTTTGTGAAATTAAGACATTCAGCTAGTAATAACATATAACTAGTCAAGCAATCTCAGAAAAGAGCTATTAGCCTAAATTTGATTTTCTCTGAAGAAGAAAAACCTATATAAACACACCACTTTATTTGCAGTATCATTCCATAACATGAAGTGAAGCAAGTACAAAAAAATATACTAGCCATTTAGCAAAAGAAAGATCTTTTGTGTCCTATAAGTAATTGTGTTCTAGCACCAGCTCTCTACTTCCTCCAGAAGATACATCCCAAACAGCGAGTGAAAAATAGCTAATCAAACAAAATTATGCCTAATTCTTTTCCCAAAACCTCACCTCTTTTCCCTTGGTGAAGGGTAAATCACCAATTGATGAGAATCTGGATCAGAACTTACAAAAAATGCAAAATGTAAGGAACTCAACAATAACATACCCAGTATGATTCCACAAGTGGGGTCCGGAGAGTAGAATGTACACAGGCCTTACCACCCACCTTTGTGGGGGTAGATAGTTGTTTACGATAGACCCTTGGCTCAACAAAAACTACTACAAAACAGGGTAGCAAGAACAATATGTAAGAAACTCAGCAAGAACACAACAACAACAACCATAGATGCAAATTTGGATCAATAACTTCAGCAAGATACAAACTTTAAGAACCCCAATTGAGAAAAAGGGAAAAATAACCCCACTTTCTGTAATTAAAGGAAAGAACCGTATAAACAATGCAGTAAACCACATCAACCATAGATACAAATTTGAATTCAACACATCAAAGATACAAACTTTTAGAAACCAAATGGAGAAAAATACATAACAAGAGAACCCCACTTCCTGTAACTAAAGGAAAAAACTGTATAAACCAGTAAAGCAAATCAAGCATAGATGCAAATTTGGATCAAGAACTTCAACAATATACAAACTTTAACAACCCAATTCAGAAAGATAGAAAAATAAAGAACCCCACTTTCTGTAATTAGGAAAAAACTATACACTCAATGCAGTAAAGCAAATAAACCATAGATGCAAATTGGGATCAAGAACTTCAACAAGATACAAACTTTAAGAAACCCAATTGAGAAAAATGGAAAAACAGTATAAACCATACAGTAAAGCAAATCACCCATAGATGCAAATTTGGATCAAGACACAAACTTTAAGATACCCACTTGAGAAAAACGGAAAACCTATATAAAAAATGCAGTAAAGGAAATCAACCATGATGCGAATTTTGAACAAGAACTTCAACAAGATACAAACTTTAAGAAACCCAATTGAGAAAAAAAAAACAGTATAAACCATACAGTAAAGCAAAATCACCCGTAGATGCAAATTTGAATCAAGATAAAAACTTTAAGATACCCAATTGAGAAAAACGGAAAACCCATATAAAAAAATGCAGTAAAGCAAATCAACCATGGATGCAAATTTTGATCAAGAACTTCAACAAGATGCAATCTTTAAGATACCCAATTGAGAAAAAAGGAAAAATAAGAGAACCCCACTAACCTTTCTGAACTTAGTGATCAAATATACAAATACAAGAAATCAGAACAAAAGGGTGTGTGTCTTTGCTTCTTCAAGAAGCACTTGCAGTTACAGGAAAGTGTACTAGGGGACTGGTTAAGGATTTCACGCGACAAGGATGCTACCATTTTTTTTATTTATTTAATTTCATTTATATATTTTGTTGGGATCTCAAGGGTTGTTTTCCCATGTTTCCTAATGTATTGAATTGTATTGTATAGTATTTGGACAAATATAATCTTTGAACAGATTGTATTATCTTTTGCAATTATATGACACTAGGAAATTGTCCATACTTCGCGCCGTAATAAAATTTAAAAAGAAAACAACAATTAAAGAAATTAAGAGAATGATAGACTTCATTCATTATTTATTTATTTTATTTCATTTATATTTTTCGGATCTAAATGGTTGTTTTCTAATGTTTTCTAATGTATTGAATTGTATTATTTTTGTTTGGATAAATAAAATGTCTGGACAGATTGTATAATCTTTCGGAATTACATGAAACTAAGAAACTTCTTCACGTTTCACGCCGTATTAAACTTTAAAAAGAAAACAAAAAATTAAATAAATTAAGAGAATGATAGACTTCATTCATTATTTATTTATTAATGTATTTATCTGTGCTTCGCGCGGAATTAAATATATTTTTTAATAATTGATGTCGCTAATTAACTAGTTCTTAATAAGCAGTTTATAAAAAGAAAACAGTTCAAATCGAGTCACGGTCTTAATATTATCTATTCAGAAAATAGTTAGAAAGATATTTTTTAATTTCCTTAATATTACCAATAAAAGAAACATAACAAAGTTAGTATGAAAAGTTTCAATAAATTAACCATCTAATTACCGTAATTTTTTTTATTAAATTCAATGAATTTAAAAACAATAATATTAGTTCAACCAAAATAACATCAAATTTAATTGATTATAAATTACATTGTTATAAATTCATTGAACTAAATGGATTGACCATTGAGTTTATCCATAAACTTATACTTATCATCTATATGTATTCTATAGGTTCTATGAACCTTTTTGGATAAGAATGTATCTATTTATTATGATACTTAATATGGTGACTTTTGGAGTGATTTTTCAACCTATAGATAGGGTTGTTCATTCACCATTGTAAAAGACACATGATGAGACAAGAAGAAATTTGAATAAGATGATCTCTACATTTTATTCTCCATATATCTTGTCTATACTATTTGTAGTATATTGCTTATATTTTACAACATACATGACTTTGTTTTTATGTAAACGACTTGATTTGTAATACAAATAATTAAAAATATATTTATCATGCATAAAAGTAATAAAAATACTTAAATTATGTTTCAATATAGTTATACACGAAATTAAGAAGTTAGTGAGATCTTCTTGTGGTAAAGTCTCATCTTGTGTGTTAGCCGAAGTTACAATAGTAACATTGAACCCTCGAACATGTTTGAAGATCTCGAAATGATCATCCAGTTTGGCGGAGAATTCGCAAAATTCCGTTTCCACTTTTTGTTTGATTTTTTCTTATACTTTATTTTCCATATTGAATTCATCTAATGCGTACTTCATCGTATATGACTCATTAATATTAAAGGATCGCATATCTCAATTTTTATTTTTATATGCGTAATATTTATTGAGAAAAACATCTCATAAAACATTACATCGGAGATTATACTTTGCAATATAAAATAAAAGAATTGAAACACATAAGATAAAATAAATGTATATTTGAAATAAGTCATGATGTCATAGTAATTTGATGTGTTACTTATCTACTCGACTATATAGAGATTAACATAAAGTGACAAATTATTAAATTTTCGAGAGTACATATAATCAAGTTATAAAATGGTATACCAAGAGTTGAATAATATGTACACCTAACACATATAGAGCAGTTAAAGAGTTTTATAACGTTAATTGAATTGTTAAGATTAATTATTATTGTAGTCTTTACTTTTAAAAAAAATATGTGATAACAACTCTTCAAAAGATAACTCCTTCTTTAATGTGGAAAATCAAGATAAATAATTTTTGCTTTAAATAATTATAAGTTAAATACATATTAATCACATATATAGATTTATTATAGCAAAATTATAAAATAACTTTTTATTACATATGTACATGTCATTTACAATGTCATAAAAAATTATAATTTATTTATTCGATCATACTATATATATGTTATTGGAAAAATTAAATAAGGATTTTTGAAGTTTTTTTTACAATAATTAAGAGATGTTAAAGGAATAATACATTTTAGTTTTAACATAATATATTAAATTAGATTAAGAGAGTAAAATGAGTTGACTTTTGAACTTTTATAATATGACACATAAATAAGATTTTTTCAATAAAGACTCAATATACTTGAAACTTATCTCTACCTAAGTGTCAAACCTCACTTCCACATTGTCTCATGCAATACCACTGAATTTATATTCCACATATTCTATTTTAGTCATGCTCAATATGAACCTTTAGGACTCATTTGATAGGCGGTATTAAATAAAATAGTTCATGGATTAAAATATAGTACATCTAATACATTGTTTTGTTACTTTATTTAATTTAATCCATGGATTGCTTATACACCATATGTGGTCTTATTTTATCCCTAGAAAATTGAGGGATAACTAATCCAAGGTTTAACAAATCTTGGATAAGACCCCTAACTATCCCCTTATTCATTTTCCTAAATTTTCTTTTGTAATTTGATTTCCTTTTTATTTATATCGGAATGGTTATAAATGTTCTTTTTAATTCTCCAAATCCATTTAATATAATTTAATGATTTCACTAATATTTTTTCTCCATTTTTTTGAATTTTTTTATTCAATGTAGTTTGTCGATTAACCATTTGAACGGTTTATTTTTTATTTTTTAAAAAAAGAAGCTTTAGATAGTGAATATTTTAAGTAGTCTTAAATCTATGTTAAGTTTAAGATATATTTGACCAACAAAAAATTAGAAATATATATATATTTAACATAACTAGTTAAAAAATTATCCGGCGATTATCTACCTTGACTCAATTACATGAAATAAGCAATTTCATAATAACACAAGGGTTTTATAATAGGAAATATCTTTTTTTTGTAGAGTTTTAAATCAAACACAAGATTAAGTGGGAAGCAATGAACCAAACACTTTGACAAAAAATAATTCTTACACTACTAATTCTTGCGTTGTCAATGTTTGTACCATACGATCCCTTAGAGTCCAGGGTGACCGGCCGTCTCCACACCCCAACCTAGCATTAGCTTTTCAATTCCAAACCAAATCACTAATAAGTTTTTTTTCTCGATCTAACTCAAAAAAATAAGTTTGAACATGCACAATATATAAGTGTAGACACGTGATTATTGATTGAACCTAATGTTTTACACTATGTTAGTACTTAAATATTTTAATTGGATCTTTTTATTTTATCTTATTTAGTAAGTTTGTTTATCGAAGATTTGGAAAATACAAAACATAGAGTCATATTTTAGGGTAAGTTTTGTTTTAAATTTTTTCAAAAGAAATGAAAACTTAAAAAAAATATGTTTTTTTAACTTAAGTTTTAATAAATAAGCTAGTAATTTTAATATATTATCGATGATATTTTAATCTAATTATTTAAATTTTTTAAATATTTTGTTTGCTTAAAATAGTCAGCCATTATTTTATTTTTAAAAATAATTTTTTTTTTGTTTTTTCTTTTTAAAATTAATAAAGCAAGAAGAAAAATTTAATTACCCCTCCCACTAATCCTAAACTCACAACCCAATAAACCCCCTGACATTCCCCCACTCACCAAACATCTCACTCAACAACACACCCACACAGCCAACAAATAAGAAAAGAAAAAAGAAACATACATTGAGAAAAAATGGTTAAGTTCGAAATTTGCTTTTGTAATTTTGAATTCGTAATTTTTTATTGTGGTTTTTTTCTCTTTTGTGACTTAATTTTCACAAAAAATAACACGTGATCTTTATTGTATGACTTGATTTCACAATTATACAAGATTTAATTATAATGTTATGAAATTATTCAAATTCTATATATGTTTGACTTTGATACTATAATATTATATTTGAATGGTTGCACGGTTTGATTTCTCGAATGAATTTTAATTTTTAGATAATTTGTTATTATATCCCTATATATTAATCGGGTTGTTCAGAGCATATTTAGGCTATTAAAAAAAATCATATACAAACATTAGGATAAATTGAATGTTAGAATTTTTTTAAACATATCTTATATTTGTAAACTAAGATCATGTTTATGCGTTTACGATAAGGACATAAAAAATAGAATGTCAAGATCGTAGTTATACGTCTAGGCCTAAGTATTTGTTAAAAATAATAATCTTTGATTTAATCAAGCGACTAATTGCTTTTAACGTTAGACGAGCATAGACACATTTTAAAAATTAATTTCAATTAAGAATATGGTTACACATCATATTTTTGTAACACTTAAAAAATATTCAAGGATGCAGTTACACACCTTGGCCAAATTATTTTCAATAATTAAACTTCATTAATTCAATCAGATGGGTAGATAGAGATTATTAGGTGTGATGCACCCGCGTAAAGAAAACAATTATGCCTCTAAGCCGGTGTATGTCAAGACCAAGTATACAATGACGAATCTAGGTTGAGACCAATAAAAGTTCAATATTAAAAAATGTGTGTAAACCGTAGCATGTAACCATATATCCATAATAGTCTAAAATAAGTATATGTTGATAAAAGCGATCGTGCTAAAACCACGGGATTCGAGGGGTGCGTCATACCTTCCCCTTAGTCAACATAATTTTTTACATGTATTTCTTGTTCACAGACAAATAAAAATAAAAGTCAACTTTCTTTTGATTAGAGATTTAAACAATGTGACTTGGAACACCATAATTCAATTCTAAGTGACGATTCTGAAAAATTAAAATAATCTTTATTTAATATGATATTTAATTTGGAAAACCCCCCTAAAAAAAGGGTATTATAATAAGTTTTTTTTTATTAAAAAAATAACATTATTAATACATGATTTACTTTTGAGATATAACAAATTGTTACCATCATTTCATTTCCCCCTTTTAATAGACCTTCCCATTTATTTTGATCTAACTCACAATTTCCAAAATTTAAATTATGAAACTAAAATAAATTTCAATATTTGGGCCTTAAAATAACAAATAAGCTAAACACCCTTTCTTCTTCCCCCCAATTTTTCTTTTTGAATTCAGACAGCTCCAAATTTCCATTATCACCCTCTCAAAAACAGCCAAGAAATGATCTTTTCTTAATTACAATCTTAAATTCAAACCTTTATCACTCCAAAAAGGTAAAAAAAAAAAACACAATCCAATCCCCAATGGCTTCAATCAAGCCATCGTATCGGTACGCCAACGCCGCCACTTCTTCCATAGATTCTCTCCGATCTTCTTCCAAATCCGATCCCTCATCCTCCACCGACCTATCCCCTCGCCCCCACAACCCCCACTCCTTGTCACGCGCTCTGACGCTCCCTCACGCGCCGTCCACCACACGTCACAACTTCGGGTCCTTGGTCAAGAAATTGGTGGAGCACAAATCTGGGCCATCGATTAAATCGAAGCCTAAGGGTGAGCTGAAACTGATTGTTCCGGTGGATTTCGTGGCGAAAAGGGGAAATGGATTGAGTGCTTTGCACAAGAAGTTGTTCAAGGGAGTAGTGAAAAGAGATGAAGGGAGTGAGAAGAAGAAGAAGGCTTTAACTGAAGTTAAAGCGAATACAAGGAGTTTAGCTATGGTGTTGAGAAGTGAAAGGGAGTTGTTGAGTATGAACAAGGAGCAAGAGAATGAGATTGATGAACTCAAATTGAAGATTGAAGAGAAAAACAAAGAGGTATTTTCTTGAATTGTGTAATTTGCTTAATGCTAGAGTTTGATTAGAATCTATTTTAGAGGTGGCGGAGCTAGGAATTTTATCGAGTGCATTCAAAAGTTTCAAACTTGCAATCTATAGTAAGTCAAGGGGGCTCGAAAATTTATGTAATGTGATGCTTGAAGAGAAGTACATAGAGGTGTGTGACTATGAATTGTGTAATTTGTTTAATGCAAGAGTTTGATTAGATCCATTTTGCTCTTGATTTGCCCCCTAGTACTTGATTTAGTGCTTAAGCATTGGCGTAGCTAGGAATTTTAATGAGGGTATTCGAAAGTTTCAATTTTGGGACCTTAAGTATTGAGGGGGTTCAAAGGTTTATATATATACGAAAAATTTGATTTTGGACTATGATTTTCCAACAATTGAACCCCTTTATTGGTTGTGGCTCCGCCATTGCGCTCATGATTAGTGCTAATTTTATTCAAAAGATTATATTTAATAATAATTAATGAATTGGTGTTTGCTAAGCTAAAAATTGATGCTTGAAGAGAAAAACAGAAAGGTTCGTTCTTGAATTGTGTAATTTGCTTAATACTAGAGTTCTATTAGAATCCATTGTAGTCCTAGTTTGCCCCCCTAATACTTGATTTAGTGCTTAAGCAGTGGCGTAGCTAGGATGTTTAACAAGTCCATTCAAAAACTTCAAACTCACAACCTAATGTAAGTTGAGGGGATTCAAAAGTTTATGTATATAGGAGAAAGTTGTTTTATCCTTATTTGGGCAGTAGGATTCTCCAATGATTGAACCCCTTCATTGGATGTGGCTCCGCCATTGTGCTTACAAATAGTGCTGAGTTTATGTAAACAATTGCTTTTAGTAATATTTGATGAATTGGTGTTTCCCAAATGTTTTGCTTCACAAATTTTGGAAAACAAATAACTGAATCCTGATACTGTTGAGTCCACTTGCCAGTAAAAGAAGCAATGAAAGTAAGTTCGATTTTTGACCCAAAACTGTTCTTTTTTAACAAAAGTTAGAGATTTGTACTTCATGCAGGGGTAAATGAGAGGTTAGAGAACCCTTTAAAGTATCAATTATTTAGTATTAGAATGAAATGGCCTTCTTAGAGTGGAATTGATGTAGAGGATCCATACAGCCGATCCAACTAATTTGAGATTGAGGTTTGATTGATAGCTTAAAATTTAACTCTGCCTCGTCATCCATTGATTGTGCACTCCTGCAAAGTTTATAAGGGAAGCTCGTGTGTTCGACATTTCTAAGTGGATGGTAACTTGCAGTGAAATAGTTTGCCTAAAAGTTGCACCTTTTTAGATTATGTAAGGATTACAAGTCTGAGTAGACTTTCTAAAAGTAGTATTAGGTGATATGTTATATTGATAAATGATAATAGTAGATTGTAAATCTTTTGGTTCTTTAATGAAAGTAGTTTCGGTGTTAGAACAATGGGATCATAGAGATGTTGAGTTACTTAATGGCAACTAGTTTCGTTTTAGAGTAAGCTTCTGTGTGGTAGCTGTTAATTGTATACTGTGTGAATTTAGGAATGCTCTTACTGAAATGACACATTTGTTGTAAAAAATGTGGTGGATGATAGTACCTTCGATGGTACGTTGATTATATGGTGCTGTTTTATCTCATTTGCTATTTTAAAATGATGACAGGTTGAGAAGTTAAAGGATTTGTGTTTGAAGCAGAGGGAAGAGATAAAGTCATTGAAAAATGCCGTACTATTCCCAGATGTTTTGAATTCTCAACTTCAGGAACTTGTGGAGAAGCAGGGATCAGAACTCAAACAGGCAAACCAGCTTATACCAAGTCTACAAAAGCAAGTCACTTCTCTTACAGGACAACTACAATGCCTCGCCTATGATCTTGCTGAGGTAACCTTGAGAAAGTTGTTGCCAGTAGCCGCTTAATATGATTGAGGATTTATTAACAAATGCATAAGCTAGTTGTTTAATATTCTTAAAATAAGACCATAAGTGCTTAGAAGAAGTCATTTTCTTGAACTTGTGCAGAATTTTTGTCTATTAGTATCTGTCTGTCCTCTAACGGAGACATTTGTAATGTACCATAGGCGTAGTATTAAAAGAACTGCAGATATTAGTTAAATGAAGTCACTTTATTGTTTGATATTCTCAGTTACCTTACCAATCTTCACCTTAAAAGTTATAAGTAATGAAACCAAGACAATTTTAATGGATGTTCTTCAATGTTTCAAATTTACTGCCGGATCTATTCTCTTGGTGTGAGCTGGAACCAAACTCTTTAACTATACCTAAGGGCTAAGAGATCATGACTTCAAACAGAATGAGAAAAAAAGGTCCAGTCTATAGCATAGGTCTTTCTTTCCCCGGTTTCCTTTCAAAGGAGAGGCCTTGCAGATTCGTAAGTCCATGTATCATTGGATTTGAAATCAAGCTCTCTACCTTGAGCAGATAGGAATTGAGACTTTCAATGGTCTGCTTTTCTCTCCTCGTGATCGAAGTTGATCCCTTTACCACATAGAATGTGCTTTGGATGTAATGATGCAAATATGTTCAGTATATTATAAAACCAACATTAATTTTTGAAATGATATTCTTCATACAGGTTAAAGCAGAAAAATACTCTCTAAGAGGGTGTTATGATTCTCTTGATAGCTCCCCAAGGTCACCAGAATACGATCAAGAAGAAGCAGGGAATTCTCTGGTAAGTACATTTTTATGTTTAGCAAAAACAAAAATGGTGGTAATAAGATAACCAATGATATCTTGCATAAAAATTGGATATCTGTTTTCTGCTCTAGGTTAAGATTCTTTCGGAAAGCATTTGACTGACATTTTAAGCGTAAGCTTCAGAGAGCAACTAAGTTTTTCTTCATTTTTCTCTAGGAATTTTGTTCTGAGAACACAATTTCCCCCGGTAGTCCAGATGACATGCTTCTCAAGGACTTAAATCCATGTTTAACGCCTTATTCTGCCAAGACGAAGTCCAAGGTGAGTGTCTCATGAGCCAAAAAAAGCAGCACGACTTGATTACTGGAAGTTGTTTCTCATTTAGAATCTTAAGTTGTTAGATTATGTTTTCAACGCACCCCTCATTGATTATTTAACGAGACATGAAAGTGGAGTTTCTTTTCGATAATGGGGGACAGTGTGACATGAATTCAACACTTTTGCCAGCTTTGATACCATGTTAAAAGTGGGTGGTCATCTCATCTCTAAAAGTTTAAACTGTCAAATATGACACATTTTTATATACTTAAATCTTTTCAACCGTCATAGTTTGGAAAATTCGAATAAAGTACCTCTACCAGTATATTGCATAGTTTCTGAATTCACAATCATTTGAAGTTTTCAAGATTCATTTCAAAACATGATGTTCTATTCTTTTTACCAAAGTGAACTCTATTTTGATGCCTAATGTGATCTATTTTAGGAATTTGAGTTCAATTCTCCTGATGACAAGAACTTGCTTAGAAACAATATACAAGTGTACCATGACACTAGCTACAGCTACAATTCTTGTGCAAGCAAAGTATCGAAAAGTTCAGGCTGTTGTCAAAGTTCAAAGGCAGCCAACAATTCAATTCGCGCAGCTTGTGGATCTGATGAAAGCAAATACACATACAGAAAGCAGATCCACAAAATGTTCTAAGGTTATTCTTGATCCTCAACAAGCATCTTTATAGCTTTGGTTTGATTAAGGCCACATTGAGATGACATTAAATTGAAGAAACATGGTCAGTGAGTATTCATATAGCCGACTCCAACTTATTTAGGATTGAGGCACAAAGGTTTTTTTAAGGATTTTTGTTGCATTTTACAACTAAGATTATGTGATGCACTTGTATATTTTGTTTACTTTACATTTATGTGCAAAATTTGGAGCTTTTTGAGCTTCAAAACCATATACATTGCTCATTAGTCAATAAAACACTTGTATGTACTCTCATTGTTTCATTTTTTTTTTGTCGTAGTTTGTCTTGACATGAAGTTTAAGAATGTAGAGTTCTGAATCTCGTGATCCTAAGCTAGAGGCGTGTTTAACACACCAAAGATATCGTTTTGAATCTTTCAGTCTTAAACATGTCATGTCAGTTCTATAAGGGTGTGCCATTAAAGGTTAAATGAGAATGATGAAATCCAAGAGTTATTGAATAGAAAGGCGACATTTTTATAAATTGTATTAAAAAGAACGTAAGACAAATACATTGAAATGAAGGCGATGTATTCCATATACTCCATCTATCTTGGTAGCAATCCACCATTAAGTGCCATCCTCACAACCTGGAAAATAACTGCCACATATCCAGACATTAAAAGATATGTTAGAACTTGGTTTTTTTGGCATAATATATGTTTTCATTTTATGAAAGTATACAAATTATATACACTATCAATATATCAAAATTAAACGTTTCATCTATAAATAATAATAATAATAATAATAATATATAGTATACGTTAATCATTCAAAAAATACTATTTACACTTCATTGATTGATCTAGCCTTTTCTTCGTATCGATATAGTGAATCACATACTAAAAGGGCATCCTAGGCAACTTACTTGAGACTACTAAGGTTGTTGGCAGACTCTTTCATTAAGTAGGGGTAAACATGACAAATGCTTAAGAATATCCAATTAAATTTGAACAATATGCAATGATGTACCCAATGTAATCCCATATGCCATATATGGGGTCCGGAGAGGATATGGTGTATGCAGTCAATACTTTTGAAAAGCATTTCAAAGATACTTGAAAAAGGAAATATGGAAATGAAGAATATATGGAAACCAAAAGGAAAGCAATACATAGCATTCAGACAAAAATGAATAGTAACAACAATGAAATAATGCAATAACCGAGGCACAAGAGTCAAGAAATATTGATGATAACAGAAAATCAACGACAAGAAACTACGAGAATAATGCTAATACCACCGTAAGAAAGCGAAAACAGACACAATGCTCCAAACAATTACCAGTCATATCTCATAGAAAAGTGAGACAACATTCACCTACCTACTTATCTTTTATTATAATTCGCAACCTTCATACCCTTCTACGAAAAATATGATTAAACTTAATTAAGAATTAAAATGGTTTGAGGGATTAGAAAATTAGCTTACAAGATCCAATGAATAAAACAGCAAAGAGAACAAGAAAAATATGAATTGGCTCAAATCCTTTGTTGCCTCTTTGATTTTGCAATATTCCCCTCTTTGTTATGTTCTTTTCAAACTTAGCCACTTTCTTCTCTGCAACTCTTTTTGAAGTTGTCTACAAAATTTCACAAAATAAATAAATAAATTTTAAATTCTAAAATCGCCTGACTTCATTTTTTGACGGAGCCACATAGTATCATAAAATTATTATGTATATTGATCAAATATTACATATACAATAAATCATGAACAAAAGTGTGGAGCCACAAACTAAGGAAGGGGATTCAATTGAATCCCTTCTTTAAAATAATTACACATAAAAACAAATATTTTCATATATATTTATAATGACAAAGATAAAAAAAAAAATTGACATCACAAGTTCAAATATTTTGAATCCCCTATTAAAACTTCTAGTTCTGGTTCTGCTCTCGAATACTTTTAACGAAATTTCTAAATTCACATGTATTTGATATTGAAAATGGAACACAAACCTCATTGTAATTATTACATTATTAAAGAAAATAATACTACAATTACATATAATAACTGCATAATACTGAGAGGAAGGAAGATATTAGCTCTTACCATTGATGTGTTGCTTTGGTTGTAGTTAAAAGCACTATATATGAACTTTATACTAATTTGAAATATGATAATGAAGAAGAAAGAAGATGCCTTTAGTATTGCAGTATTATACTCTCATGTTAACTTTTACTTGTCACGTTTCGCTTTTTGAGAGGCAAGGTGCATGTACTTTAATATGAGAAAAATTACAATTTATAACACGTTTCGTATAGTTTTTAAACATCTAATTTAAAATATTTAAAAATCTAATTAAATTTAATTCCAAAATCAATCAAATTGACTCTCATAAAATAAAACGTGATAAATAAAAATAATAAAATGTGATAAGTAAAAGTGAGCCGTATGATGAGAGTATATTCTTTAATAAATGTGATAATAAATTAAAGTAGTTTCTTTTTTTATCCTCAACATGAAATGTTGGAAGTGTAATTAATGAAAAACACAACACTTGTCGGCAAAAAAGAAATTACTTCCTCCTGTCACGCTATTACTCACTTTCAAAACTAAATTAGATTACATTAATTTAATATTTTAAAATAAAAAATTAGATATCAAAAAATTATATGAAAATTACTATAAGTTATAATTTAAATTAGATTACATTAATTTAATATTTTAAAAAAAAAAATTAGATATCAAAAAATTATATGAAAATTACTATAAGTTATAATTTAAATTAGATTACATTAATTTAATATTTTAAAATAAAAAATTAGATATCAAAAAATTATATGAAAATTACTATAAGTTATAATTTTTTTCATATTAATATGATAAAGAAATACATTTATAAGTATTATTCAAAAGTTCATATCGTTTAACTCTTAAAAAGAAAATTATGACTAGTAAGAAGAACGGAATGAGTACTTTTTTTCTTTTGCTTAGATATATTTAGAAATAAACAATTTTAGAATAGTGAAAGAACATTTATTAATGATTCATATAATCGAGCTTCTCTTTGATTTGTTTTAATTATAATTTCAAATTATTGTTCAAGTAAAATATCGTTAGGGGTCAAAAGTAATATATCTGATGTAGTTCTATAGTAAGGACTGAAGAGTATGATATGTACATCGGTCTTATTTCTATCTTATAAAAATAGAAAAGTTATATATTTTCGATAGATCTTCAATTCCATTAAGGTAAAGAAATTTATTTTACACGCTTTCGTAACCGTACTAATAATATTAAACCAAATGTCGGATGAAGGGTAAAGTTACCCAATTCTAAATTATAGTATAGGGACCAGTTTAGCCCCCCTAAATAAGGGGAGAGACTAGGAAATGATGAATTAATTTATCAAAGTTATTCCTCCGATTTTAAATTATTTATCGTGAATTTTCTTATCTCAAATTATTTATTATTTTAAAAGTTCATGACAAACTTAATTTTTTCTCGTTTTACACTTAACATTGATCGTTTTTGTAGACTACACACATTTCATAATGATAAATAAATAAATAAAGTAAATATTCGATGAAAATAATTATATTTTAAGACATTAATAAAATTAACATAGTCAAAAATTCCTCCTGATTAATGTTTAATTTGAGACGAAGAAAGTAAAAAACATTCCTTACTAGTCACTAATGACTCATAAAAGCGATTTAATCTTCTTTAATATAAAATTAATCTTTATCATATAGTAATACGGAGTAATTGATTTGTAACTAGAAATTTATTTTAATACAAAATTGGTGGACTTGGTCATCATTTTAGATGACATAAGAATGATGACTTTTCATATATTAGATCATCATGACGCTCGTACTAGTTAAATAATAGAGTAGTAAATAATTAAGCATTTGACTGAATTGAAGACTTTATTAATTTAAATTTGGGGTAGTTTATTGACTTTTCTTTTTTTATTTTGGACATACATGTTATTTGCAAATATTAAAGTGCTACTTGTAAATCAACATTTATCTTACTATATACATAATAGTTTTATCCAGTATTTAATATTTAATATATAATTTTATTTTTTTTAAAAACAATAATGTGTAATAATAATTTAGTTGAAGAATATAATGTAAAATTAAAAGATGAGAGTTTTAATTAATTAGGTTTATACTTTATAGTGATGGAGAGCAAGGGCGGAGCTAAGGGAATGCAAGGAGGAATCTCGTGATCGAACTATATATATATTTCTATTATAGTAGAAAAGGCTTGTTCAACATGTGTGCTTAGTGTCCATTATTTCAAATTTGAGGGTGTTTTTGTCTTTTCAAAGTTTTTTTTGTAGCTTACGTGTCTTGTAGTTTCAAATTTGAGGGTATTTTTGTCTTTTCATTGTTTTATTGTAGCTTACCGACATATATTCTTTTATTTGGTGTGCTTAAGAATCCCAGTACCTCAAATATCATGGCATGCAATTCAATTTTTTTAAAATTATTTATGTGTTTGCATATATATGTTGGGGGATTTTAATTTAATTTTTATTGTTTATGTTATTTGTTGAATACAGAAATATTGATTCTTTTGGTCTTTGTTCATACTGTTTTGGTGATGAAATGAAAATTACATTCTATTTGATTTAGTTAATCACATTCATTATTAACTTGTGAAATAATTCTTGTTGGACAGGAAAATCCATAAAGATATGCAGTTGTTCAGTATAGTGTTTTGGAATATAGAAATCAGAAGGCCATCAACACAAATACCTTTTGTTTCATAACTGTAGAAAATTAGATTGTATATGATTTAGTTACTCACATTAATGTTCCATGGTCATACATTATTTAGAATTGTGTTAATACAATTTGATATCTATCAAATCACAATGTAAAAATTAGTTTCATACAAAAATTAGTTATTTAGATAATAAACATATAATGAAAAATTACTCTTTCCATCTCATAGTATTTTTCTATGTATAATAGTTGAATGGCTACACTTCATATGAAAAAAAAAGGTTAATATCTATGTGGTAGATTAAATGATTTCAGAGATGGAAAGGTGATATGACTATTATCAATCGAGAATTTCTCAATTCAAAGGTGATATGACTATTATCAACCGAGAACTTTTTAATTCAAAGGTGATATGACTAGATACGAGAATACATTTTCTCTGATAGATGTTCAATTTTTCATGTAACAACATGATGCTTTGATCAGACGAATACCCAGAGTGCAAGAGATCGAGAAGACTCTTAAAAGCAACTGGAAAATCTCCACCACAAAGTAAGGTGAGTTGAATTTTGAATGAAATGCTTTCAACTTTATTTTCATATCATATTAGCCCAACTGATGACAATTGACACTAATATTTCCATTAATATTTAAACCACATAGATATATATATGTTGTTTTGTTTGTCTATTTTACTTCGCTTCTATTATTTGATTTTTCTATTTTTGAATTGCTATTTATGTTTTAATTTATTTAGTTTTCCACATGTTAAAAAAAGAGTTATATAGCTACACGTTCTTTGTGAACAAAGCACTGATCATCGATGCAACACAATGTTTTTATTTATATTTGTTATTATTATGAGTAATTCGTGCAATGCAGGCTATTCTTTTTGGAAGAGATCCAAATTTTTATTCAAATCTTTGTGCATCAATTTGATCATAAAACAAAGCTATGAGGATATTTTCTTCAAATTTCATGCCAATAATATTCAATAATTAGCATGCCGTGATCATCTGCTGTGAAGTTAACATGTATCAAATTATTTACTGCAAATTTATATCAAAAATAAAATAAAATTAGTATTAGTTTTCATAATATTGGGTCCGTATCACCCGCTAGTATATATATATATATATATTACATTTTCATAACCATTTTATCGTTGTTTATTCATATTTTAAATCCCCTTTTGCTATTATTTTCGAGGGAAACTTTCGCAAATAGCCACTAAAATAATTTTAATTAGGATCCATAGCTATAGTTTGCTAATTACACTTCGTAGCTACATGTTAGGGGGATGAGAGAGGCGAGCGAGATTGGGAGAGAGAGGAGAGAGGCGAGTGAGAGAGGGCGGAGAGTGAAGAGAGGCGAATATGTATATATGTCAAATTATGTATATCTATCAGATAATTGTATATATGTAACTGGTATACATATGTATTTGTATATCTGGGGAGAGAGATTGGGAGAGGAAGGAGAGAAGCGAGCTAGAGAGGGCAGGTAGTAGAGAGAGACGATTGCATATCTATTATATAATTGTAAATTGTATATGTATATGTATAATTTATATTTGTATGATATATATATATATATATATATTAGCTAATTAACTAGTATATATCTGTCTATCGACGTAATTTTCCCTATTTTGAATGACTTTAAGTCAAACCTTACCATTTATAGAGTAAGGGCCCAATCTCAAAATCAAATCTCATACCATTATACTCAATGACTTGAAGTATTCTATTCTACTATATAATAAAAGGGAGTTTATGCCCATTCTACTATATAATAAAAGGGAGTTTATGCCCAAGTATAATATATAATATTCAAGATTAAGAAAAGTCCCAATCTTGAATATTATATATTATACTTGGGCATAAACTCCCTTTTAAAAGTCCCAATCTTGAACATAAACTCCCTTTTAAAAGTCCCATTGGGACTTTTCCCAATCTTGAATATTATATATTATACTTGGGCATAAACTCCCTTTTAAAAGTCCCAATCTTGAACATAAACTCCCTTTTAAAAGTCCCATTGGGACTTTTCCCAATCTTGAATATTATATATTATACTTGGGCATAAACTCCCTTTTAAAAGTCCCAATCTTGAACATAAACTCCCTTTTAAAAGTCCCATTGGGACTTTTCCCAATCTTGAATATTATATATTATACTTGGGCATAAACTCCCTTTTATTATATAGTAGAATGGGCATAAACTCCCTTTTATTATATAGTAGAATGGGCATAAACTCCCTTTTATTATATAGTAGAATGGGCATAAACTCCCTTTTATTATATAGTAGAATGGGCATAAACTCCCTTTTATTATATAGTAGAATGGGCATAAACTCCCTTTTATTATATAGTAGAAT